AAGGACAAAATTTGTAAGTCCCAGCCCCTGAACTCTGTCCTCAGACTGCCGCTAACACAGCGACCTCGAACAAGCAGTTTGCCCTTTCTGTACCCCAGTGATCACCATCTGCAAGGTAAAGATGACCGCATCTGCACTGCGTCGGGTGCTGTGAGGCTGGATGACTACTACTAACAGGGGCCTGGAGATCCTGAAGTAAAAAATACGGCTGTATAGCAAAACAGCATTAACTAACCTCCAGTGCAGAGCTGGAAGTGTCCTTCCTAAGTGTCTACGGGTATGAGCGTCCAGTTTTGCAGCACAGGGACCACTCAGGTCTGGCTGCAGCCTCACAGATGTCAATGTAGGGGAAAAGATCTCTGCCCTCCTACCCCCACAGTAGCTATCTCTTGTGCCACACACTCGCCTGGATGTGCTACAAGGTGACACAGCTTGAGGAAGGAAGGCCACAAGCAATTCCTAGGCACTGACCATGCCACAGCTGGCCTGGATGCCCCACTGCATGGTGCTGTCACTTCTCTTGTGCCCAGTACCTAAAGGAGATGGCTGCCTCCCCATTTGGGAACTGAGAAGGGATGGACTTGCTGCATGGCCTCCACTCACAGCCCCATGCCTGGTGTGTGAGCCTCTTCACATCTTGGGCCCCAGCCTTCTAGTTCGTTGGGACATGTCATTAACTGTCAGATGCGCACATGGGTATCTAACTGAGCAAATCACACATGCAGATTAGGCAAAAATACAATGGCATTGACTGTTACTGTCCCCCTCCCTGTGAACCACGCTTCCGCCAGACAAAGGAGCCTTGCTCGGAGAGCCTCTCCGTGCGCCTGGGACCTGCCAAGGGGAAGAGGTGAGTGCAGCGAGGGAGAGCAGAAACAGTGTCATAATCAGGCTCTCCACTTTATTTTAGAAACATCCTGCAGAGATGGAGACCTCCTGTCACCTTCCTTGTGGGAAAAGTTAGCGTGAAGTGTCAAGCTCAGCTATTTATATCGCTGCTGATAGTCTTGCCTGTCTTCTAAAGATGGGAGAACTTTCTTTCTAAAAACTTCAGAGGAAAAAAAAAATCATACAAAGAAGAAGATTTTGCAGGAACAGCCCTCCTGCCTCTTTGGTGTGAATTTCCTAGCTGTTCCCCAAAGCCCCGGCTGGTCCATCCAGAACAAGTGCGCTGGCCAGAGCAAGTGCCAGTGATGCAAAATGCTCGCCTGTCATTCAGAGCACACAGCATCACAAAGAGGATGGGCACAACTGCTCCAAGAGTGACAGATGCTTCCCCCCACAGAAAAAGACAGCGCAAAACAAAAAGAATGGTGGAGAGCAGCCCGTGGCTGGCAAGTCAGCCGTGCGCACTGGCGGGTGCCATCCCCACTGGGGTATTTTTATCATGGAATTTGGCAGTCACGAGGCAGCCCGGAGCTGGACGGACTCCACGCCTGGCCTGCGGTGTGATAGTCGGTTTTCCCCAGCTTTAATAGCGTTCCAGGTGATGATTAAGCCAGGACAACCACATCATTGGATTTGTGCCAGGCTGCACTGGTCTTTGTCACATACGCATTTCCCGGTGCCGAGGTCCCATGACTGCGTTCAGCTCCTTTCTTGATCCAGCAGAAAGCTGACGGCCAGAAGCGCGCTGGGCAGCAGCACAGCCCACGACTCTGCATGAATATGCATGATGCCGCTGTCAAGACTATCAGGTGCTGAGACCCCGTGAAGATACCAAGAGGTGATTTTTGCCGAGTCACACCAGAGTGGAACAAGATTTGTCTGATTGAGTCCAAACTAGGAACATAAATGTCGCAGATGCTCACACGCTGAGAGGTCAAAGCATGCGGGGACAGCAGTAGTCTGGGAATGAGGAAAGGGAACTATATGGAAAATTCCCAAGAATAGTAAAGCCCTGAAGAGAAAGGCTAGGTCAGGGGCAGTCCTGCATAGCCAGGAAAAGCTGTCAGGAGGTGATGACAGTCCTTCTTTGCTTGCTGGCAGCAGAGAGCTAGATGCTCTCTTCTGTTCTAGGAGGCCCTTGAACTGCCACTGCAAGAATAGCTCCCTTATAACTAAAAAACATCTAAGTCAAAAAACACCGTGCAAGGAAGGAAACCCCTTCTCTTGGTATCCAACACCCATTTTCCTGAGGCTGCCTACCCCCTTGCAGCAGCCACCTGGCTCTCTGTGAGGCTGTAGCAGGATGATCAGGAGGCATTTGGCTCTTGGGGCAGCCCCTCCTTTACACAGCCTGTGCAGGGGAGCAGCCAGCAGAAAGGGCAGAGGGAACAGCTCTAATATCTAGCCTACACCTCATGGCTGCCATCTTTGGATCCTTCTCATTTACCTCTTTCTGGAAAACATTGTGCATGTGTGAGACGGGTAAATTATTGTTATTCTTGCATCCATTAACATTTTTTTATTTCTGGACTCCTCTTGTACTTATGTTTTCCAACTTCATGTTATGTAAACATTGATTTCTACAATTTGCAAGTGTCTAGGTGTACCTTCCTTGGGGAAAACAAGCCATTGTAAAACCCCAAACTATCTGCACGTGGTAGAACTGATGGGAAGAGGTGCGCAGCCTGCAATCGTACATGCACATGGCAGGAAGGAAAACTCATTCTTGGCACAGCCAGGGAGAACTGTGTTCATTTTTACCCCAAAAAGCAAGGTGAATCAAGAAAAGGCAACTAGTAACAGCAGAAGCAAGAATGGCACCTGCAAACAACACAAACTCACCTGGAAAAATGAGGACACATACCATTGTTCATGCTGTCTTGGAAGGAATATTTCACACGAACAGTTGTGCTATACCATATTGTCTTGGATGCACCTGTACAGGGAACTGTAGGTAGCTGCTTGCTTTGTCTGCACTCTGGGGAAAAAAAAAAATTAAAATCCTGATTTCAATGCAACTGTTTGTAAATATTTCCTATTACTGATTTATCTGCCTGTATGCAATCCCCTGGAGCCCACAGAATGAAGCCATATGCTAATTTCTCCAGAATGCAATAAGTGCACCAAAGCCATTTCAGAAGACAGAGGCACAGATTCACCAGTTTGTACCAGTGCAAAAATGAGTCAGAAAGACTAGCTGATTTTCTGTGTTACTGCTCCTCCAGTTCTGGGCTGGCAGCAGATGAAAGCTTTGGCATACTCTGAGCAGCCACCAGGATCTACATCAGCATGACTGCAGCGTGCCTGCCAAAGCAGAAAGAGCCAAAGCCCATCCTTTGCTTCTTGGTCTGCCCCTTTTCCCTCCTCACACCATGTCCAACTGGCGGTGGGGCAGCAAGTGGTCACCTCCCCATCTCCTTACCTAGGCAATCCTCACCTTTCCTCAGGGCAGCCCTCAGCAGTGTGAGGAGTTTAAGGAGTCTGACTTTTGATCTTTGTCCCATCCATCCTGCAGATGGACACTGCATATAAACAAGCAATGGCATAAATCATCACGTGCGCTGCTATATTAAATTATATCAGGCACATAACCAGACGGGGATATTATTCCCTCAACAAGTGTCTCTCTCTGTTCTCCATCTTTTGCTCACAGGAAATCTACACAATATTGCTGCAGTAAATTCTCAGCATTTAACCGTGTCTACTCTCCACAGACATTCTCTGTACAGTAAAAATAATTGGCTCTTAAAGACAAGGGACAATAAAGAAGGAGAGTTAATACTTTTGGTCCCCACAGCTTTGGGATTTACCTTGTCTAGTGCTTTTAATATTTCATTATGATGATTATTTTTTCATTTATTTATTAAAAGGATATTTTTAAAAGAGTGACTGTGGGAGAACACTATCTCCAAGGTAATACTGCACACTTTATAGCACCTAGCCCTTAACTCATGCACAAGGGAGAGCTTTGCAGTGCCCTGGAAAGATAAGCATGGCAAGAATAACTGGATCAAATGTTTGCTCAAGCACTCCCACAGAGCCCCACAAAAGATGGATTAAACCCATGGTCCTCTTTTCATCCAGGGGGTTAAAGTGACTTGGCCAGAAACAGTCTGTCAGAGTCAGAAACAGAACTGACGCAGGCTCTCCGACATCCTCACGTTGCAATCTTACTACCAGCCTGCCAAACCTTTCCTCTCATCAGACCACCTAACAAAGAGCAGTTCCCAGGAGCTGCTGGTCACTGGGAGGCGTTTCAAAGGAGGCTTTTTTCTTTGCCTGTGTCATTTGAACTGTGAATTTTGTCTCAGAGCTTAAGAAAAGAGGAGGGAGCAAGATCCCCCATTTAGATTTTGGAGCAGTTCCCTCTCAGAGAGGCAAGACAGGATGGCAGCAGATTAGGTTTACAGGACTGGCACGACTCACCAAATTTTTTACACTCCTCAAAACATTTACAGCTTGTAAATGAAACACTTGCGACTGGCTACACTGCAAAACCAAAGCAAAACCTAGGGGCAAGGGGCAGGTGGGCAGCAGGAAGGTTTTCTCTGCATTTCTTTCAGTGGTGGAATCGAGCTTGGAAATGAGGCTCAGAGCTGTGAGTGCCTCATGTTCCAGGTGCTGGTGCAGGTATTACACAAAGGTGACATATGAAAGTGCCAAGGCACTGCTCAGACCAAGCTGCAGGCTCCAAGCTTGTCTCCCAGGGGATCAGCCCATCAAGGATTCCCCAGAGCACAGTTCGAAGACAGATGAATACTGCTTTAACTACACAGTCCTCAGAGGATGCAATATGCAGACCACAGTGAAAGGACTTTCTGAAACAAGAAAAAATCTGGCCCACGATCAAAGTTTTTGCAGCCTGTTTAACAGGTTGTAGTTGGATTATGCAAAAAAGATCACTTTTTGTTTCAGTAACTGAATAAAAAAAACAAACAATACATTGTGTTCAGTGGATGTGAAACAAAGTTTTCAGCAAACCATACCTCATTCATTTCAGGTCAAATTAAAACATTTCCTTTGACACAAAACAGATCATTTCACTCCATGCATTCCCAGTTAGGCATTTCCTAACCCTCCTTAGAATCACTCTCTTCTATTTTCTCCCACAGAGGCTGCATCCAGGACTCCTTTCAAGACTTCTCACCCCTCCTGGGAAATGGGAGACTGGAGTTTCCTGGGAGAGTTCCTCGAAGAGGTCCACAAACACTCCACAGTGGTGGGGAAAGTCTGGCTGACCGTGCTCTTCATCTTCCGGATGCTAGTGCTGGGTACAGCAGCTGAGTCCTCCTGGGGGGATGAGCAATCTGACTTCATGTGTGACACCCAGCAGCCTGGCTGTGAGAACGTCTGCTATGACAAGGCTTTCCCCATCTCCCACGTCCGGTTTTGGGTCCTCCAGATCATCTTTGTCTCCACCCCATCTCTGGTGTATATGGGCCATGCGATGCACACAGTGCGCATGGAGGAGAAGAGGAAGATGAAGGAGGCAGAAATGGAGGCCCAGGAGATGAAAAACAATGGTGACACATACTACCAGCAGAAGTGCCCCGTGGCAGAGAAGGCTGAGCTGTCTTGCTGGGATGAATCAGGAGGCAAAATCATACTCAGGGGCAGTCTTCTGAACACCTATGTCTACAGCATTTTGATTCGCACTGCCATGGAAGTGGCCTTCATTGTGGGACAGTATGTCTTGTACGGGATCTTCCTGGAGACCCTGTATATCTGCCAGCGGGCACCTTGCCCCCACCCCGTCAACTGCTACGTTTCCCGTCCCACAGAGAAGAACGTGTTCATCGTCTTCATGCTGGCTGTGGCAGTGCTCTCCCTATTCCTCAGTCTGGCCGAGTTGTACCATTTGGGCTGGAAGAAAGCCAAAGAGAAGTGCTCCCGGTCTTACAAACCCAGCCCCAGCACAGCTCCCAGCAGACTGGAGTCCGCCCCACAAGCAGAAAGGGCCCAGATGTACACTCCTCCACCAGATTTTAACCAGTGCTTGTCAAGTCCCAACAGGAAGTTCATCAGCCCCTTCAGCAACAAGATGGCCTCCCAGCAGAACACTGCCAACTTCGCCACCGAGAGGGTCCATGGCCAGGAGGATGCTGCTGGTGAAGGGCCCTTCATTAAGTCCAGCTACACAGAGAGTCCAGAGGTGGCCAACGAATGTGCGGCACCTGCCTTCCCC